ATGGCCATTTGATCCATACGTCAACACTGAACAAGCACCACAGAGCCCAAGTGACTTTTCGAAGCTATTAATGATTTCTTATGCTTTCTGTCTTTCCACCTGGCCGAATGAACACCTAATGTTCATATGAGGTAAATTCAAGTAACACAGTGCGGCAAGGGAGAAGAGGTTGACTCCAATATTGCCGTTTTGATCAGCGAAAGGAGCTTGTGGCACAGTCGTAAGATATTCTAGTGTTTAAATAAATGTTTGATCAATCATGGCTCAGGGCACCAAACACAACAGATGGTACCAAAGTTAATTGCCAACATCTTTCGCTACATAGGCCACAGCGTCATCAGGCCTAAGCTAAGAACAAGTGCCTGCTTGAGGGCACGTGATGCCCAAAAAGCAAACAGCACATTATAATCATATGTTATTAAACCGAACGACCAAAGCATTAGCCAATAAATCGGTGTGAAGTCCTTATTAAAACTACAGCATCAATTTTGAAATCGTTTCCCAGCTTCCGCTAATAACCAGGGAAGATGTGCACATTATTGCACATCCAACCTTTCAGTGCCAATATATGGAAAGACTCCTTTTTCAGCAGACCTAATTTAGGCTAGTCTTTGCCTATGACAGACACATCGGTCTGACTGAAAGAATGTCTTCAGTAATTGTATGCTTGGCAATACCGGAATTGCCAGACGGTCCAAGACGGACCGCAGAAAGATGTCCTTTTTCTCTGATGTTCAATTTCCAGATGGTTTTTCCACTGCATACCTCGTCACAGTCTCTGCACTGAGCTTGGTGTACCACGTTTATCACTTTTTCAAAGTTATTAATGGGAATGTACCTTTTATATAAGTTTATGCTTGGAACCTTCAATCGTTCAGATGCTAATCTACATAACTATGGGCCCAGAATCAAAATCCTGAAGTATTATTCCAGTATTTGAATTGCGTATTTTAACACAGTTACAAAGGCGGTACGAATTCGGTCGAATTCTTGTTCGTGCTTGACCCTCTCAGGAAACGAAGAGTTGAAATGATGCATTTGAATCGCTGACCTGGTAAAAACGATGCGATGTACTGACTGTCAAGATTTACGATCTAAATTAAGAGTGAAAAGAGCGAGAGCGATGCCAATCCTATTGTAGAACAGGGAATTGACCCTTGGTGCAGTAGGCCTCCATAAGCTACTGTGA